CTCTTTCCATAGTTTGGCTATTACGGACATTGCTGCTATAAACATTGGGGTGCACATACCCCTTCGGATCACTACATTTGTATCTTTTGGGTAAATACCCAGTAGTGTAATTGCTGGGTCTTAGGGTAGATCTATTTTCAACTTTTTGAGGAACATCCATACTGTTTTGCAGAGTGGCTGCACCAGCTTGCATTTCCACCAACAGTGTAGGAGGGTTCCCCTTTCTCTGCATCCTTGTCATCTTTAAATTTTTAACATGCACTCTTCTAGATTTTCTGCTAAGTTTTATTGTCTCATTAAAAAAATAAATTTAAGTGTATAATCCATTTGTAATTTATTTTTGTATATAGTGTGAGGAAGGGATATAATTTTGTTTTCTTTTTAACATATAACTATTGTCCATGTATCCTTTAAAAATACATCATCTTTCCCCACTAAATTCAAATACCCCTTTGTCATATGTTCAATTATTATATTTTCTTGGATCTATTTTTGGATTTTCTGTTTGGTTCCCATAATCTACTTGTCCATTCCATATTAAGTGAATTTTTAGTATATTTTGATATCTGGTAAGGCAAATTCCTATACTACCTTTACTCCTGTTATTTTGCTTCATGATGTTCTTGTTTATTCTTAAGTATTTATTACTCAATATAAACTTTAAGATACTTTTATACAATATCAAATCATATGATTTTAGTTTTCTTATATTTTGGTTAAATTCCTACAATGAGCATGAATTTATTATTTATAACTAGCAAAAGATACATAATATAAAAGACAAAAAAACAAGGGTGAGAATATTAAGGGTAAATTCCCTGGTGCTTACTCTGGGCTACAAAACTAGATTAGATAATCACATTGTAGAATACAAGTGTTGAGGTAGATTAGGAGAATAAAGGAAAACATTCTGTGCTTTTGAAAGTTATAAGAGCACAAAGCTGTGCACCTTAAGTGGCAAATGATATCAGATTCATATCCCGTGGAACATTTTTGCAACGTGAAAGGGGAAGTAATTTTTGGTTTCACACAGGGATTCCATGAATTGTGGTTTGCATGTCATCCTTGTTCAGGCACCAGGCTAATCTTCTCTGTATTGTTCCAATTTTAATATATGTGCTGCTGAAGCAAATAAGAATTGTGGTTTGATACTGCAGCTTGATTAGAGTGCCCAGGGTTTTGCTCCCAAGTTATGTTTCAAGGAACACTAGAATCTCTCTCTTGATTCATAGAGGTGTTCTTTGCTCAAATGTATGTGGGAAATGCAGCCAAGATCTTTGAAGAAGATGTACAAGTAGTTTCATTTCACTCTATATTTCTTTTTTTTTAAAAAAAGATTTTATTTATTTATTTGACAGAGAGAGAGATCACAAGTAGGCAGACAGGCAGGCAGAGGGAGAGGGAGAAGCAGGCTCCCTGCTGAGCATGAAGCCCGATGCGGAACTTGATCCCAGGACGCTGGGATCATGACCTGAGCTGAAGGCAGACGCTTAACCGACTGAGCCACCCAGGCACCCCTCACTCTATATTTCTTGAATTTAACTTCACATGGAATCTTTTTTCTGAGATTTTTTTTTTCTGAGACATATCTTGAATCTTTAATGGGACTTCCAGAAGATGCTTTGGAAGATGTTGGTCCTGGAAGAGGTAGAGTGGGTACTTTCATGTCCAACAAGTTCACTAGGCAATGGATAAGGTGGGGTATGTCACTCCAATCAAACTATATTTATGTTAATTACTTATGGCTAACATAGAAAAAATATTTAGAATCTCAGAAACATGAAGTTGATCTGAATTCTTGCTAGATTCATCTTTGGCCATAGATTATGCCTTGATTTTGGAAAGTAGAACAACTTTTAAGTAGTATAGTTAAAATTCTCTGTGCCCTTTCTAATAATGTCCTGATTAAGTCATCATTCATTTTTATTTCTGTCTTGCATATTATTTTCTTTTGAGGCTGACAGTTGGTGTTTGGATCACTTAAAAACAAAACTCTTCCATGCTTTTTCCTCTTGTCAAGCCTTATTCTCCTCTGGAAAGATGCTCAGCATTATCTGAAAAGAGAAAATGCTCTCTTGTGTCTCATTTTCCTGAGGCAATTACTAGTTAACTATCTTTGCCTTTAGCAGAGGTAGGAATATACTTCGAGGAAGAAAAACTGTATGTACTTGGCTTCTTCTCTAACATTATCATTTCCTTGCATATGGATAGCTGTTCTGAGGAAATCAAAGCATTTGTGCAATTATTTTATACTTGTGTTTCAAAAAATGTGTATAGATTATGTTTATAAATACTATATACATACATTCACATGTAGACTGATCACTTAGCATTTATTCTAGTTTAAATTCCTGGGAGCTCAGACAAGGCAGGTTTTATGTGTAACAGCTGTGAGGTGTAGTAGATCTCTTGATATGAAAGTTGAAAATCAGTGTATACCTGGTTGTGCTGCTAAGAGAGCTATACTGATGAATCTATAAGGTCTTTTCTTCCTCTAAGATTTTCATCCTCCCAGGGAGAAAAGAATAATTTGTCAAGTGAAGGCAATTGCCTATACATGTAAAAAAAAATGAGGGATGGCAGAATTAGCACTGGAACTCTGGCATTCTATTCCGTCTACAGTCTATAATTGTTCCATCAAAACATTCCTTTTCATGTAGTTTCTTTCCTTGTGGCTTGTGCTTTGGAGATTGGATAGATGAGAAGAGGTTATTGTTTTGAGATTTTTGAATTCAGATGGATGGGTAATCAGCTAGTGACCAGAGGCTTCTGAGCACCAGGAAAACTGGCACTGCCAATGTCCCTGAGGCTTGACCACCTTCTGCTTGAGCAGATGGTAGGCAGAAACAACATCTTGAAAAGTTGAAGAAAGCCAAACTGGAAATGATCCCTGGAAGGCAGTTTCAGAATGTAGTGGGGTCATTCACTACACCTCTTGTGTTACCTTGTGATATTTTCTACTTTTTCTCTTGCCCTTCATTGCCTAGGACACCCTCTGCTTCATGCTTTGTAGGGATGACTTCTTTTTGTTCCTTCGAGGCTTAGCTTAAATATGAACTCCTCTGTGTGGCCTTCCTTGACGACTCAACTTTCTAGGTTGCTTTACCCTGTTATGCTCCACTACTCTATGTTTTAAAGTCATTCAGAACATTCACCACAACATATAGTTACTGTATATTTTTGTTTGCTTACTTGTTTATCTCTTTCTCCCTCTCCTACCAGATTGCAAAATCCATGAAGACTGAGACCATGTCTGTTTATTTTTCCATGTAGTCAGTATGTTTTATGAATGAATATATTTTGCGAGGGGAGCCTGGATGGCCTAGTCAGTTAAGTGTCAGACTCATGATTTTGGATTAGGTCATGATCACAGGGTCCTGAGATTGAGCCCTGGATCAGGCTCCACACTCAGCGTGGAGTCTGCTTGATGCAGAACCTGCTTGAGATTCTTTCTTCCTCTGCCCCTCCCCCTGCTCACATATGCTCTCTCTTTCTAAAATAAACAAATAAAATCTTAAAAAAATATGTTTTATGAATAAATAACTCTAAAACCTATATTCATATAACTTTAAAATTAACAATAGTATAGTCACTGGCAAAACACATGTCACTTGGTAAAATACATAGTGGACACTAAATAAATGGTAGTGTAAAATGAGAAATTATTTTTTAAAATTAAAAATTGTAGCATGTAGGATTGAAAATATGCAAATCTCTAAAAATGCTAGAAACAATAAGCACATGTTAAAATTACATTAGAAACCAGAAGACCAAAAAAGGAATAAGTCTGCTGCCCAGAGGTGTAAGGGAAGTTGTCAATATGTAATATAGATATACATTAAAGAAAGTACACTTCATTTTAATTTTTTTTTCTCCTTCTCTATTTTGGATATTGACCTTTGAGCTAAATATAGGAGAACAGATATCCAAGCTTAGCAAAGAGACTATGAGAGAGTATCAAGCTGCTGTACAAATATTATATTCCCTTGGTTAGAATATATTTTATTCCAGGGAACAATAAGATTCAAAAAGGAATCTAAAGACGTTTGACTTTAGGAAGATGGAATACATGTACTTTTTCCTATTCCTCCCACCAGGTACATTAGATGTGTTGAATATTATGTATAAAACAACCATGAGATTCAGAGAGATTGGAAGGAAAAAAGTAGAATGGCTAGGGACCCCAGGTTGAGGAACAATACATGGAGAGTCCCCTAGGTTTTCAGTTTGCCTCATATGTCCCAGGCTGGAAGGAGCAACTTAAAAATGGGCACAGCTGTGAATTGTGTAAGACTGATGAATCACAGACCTGTACCTCTGAAACAAGTAATATATGTTAAAAAAAAAAAAAAAAAAGA